ATAAAGCTTCGCGCAAAACTTTAAGCAAAATAATTGTAATTTTCAGATTTGTTCCTCCGTGGGGACTTGAAGTTGAAGATCTTTGCCCCCTTAATACTTAACTTGCAATCCCCTTGACGTATTAAAATTGAACACCGACGTCCGAAAGGAATGCCGACTTTATTATGGAGCTAACTTAATACGGCGGAGGGTCCCCCCAACCCCCACCCGTTGCTTGTGAGAGGACTAGTACGTTTTCGGTTCGCTGCAGAGTGAACTAGTACGCTGTTGGTTCGCTGCAGAGCGAACTAGTACGCGGTTGGTTCGCTGCAGAGCGAACTAGTGCGCTAAGGGTTCGTACAGGAGGCGGATTGGTTCGTAAGGAGGTTGCGTCGAGCCTCCTTAGCGAACCCTTAGCGAACTAGTTCGCACTGCCGCGCACCGGATGCGTACTAGTCCTCCGGCACGCGAACCTTTAGCGCACTAGTCCCACCGAAGCGAACTATGAGCGAACCAATCCCTCCTTGAGTTCGCTGACTAAAAGCGAACCAGTTCCCCCCTTCCGAACTAAAAGCGAACCAATCCACAGGGTAGCGAACTAAAAACGAACTGAAAACGAACTAAAAGCGAACTATATTTTTCTGTACGGGAAGCTGGGCCGGCCCCCTGTCGAACCGAGTTGCCGGCGCAGCGAAGCGGAGCTGGCAATTCGGTTCGACGGAAGGGCGGGCCCTAGCTTGTTGAGGATGTTGCCGGTGACGGGGACCCCATTGCGGCACAGTTTCGGAAATGTCTCGACCAGACCTGCCGATGGGGCGAATAAAAATTTTTAGTCGGTTGGTCCCTTTTTTTGAAGATTGAGTGGATTTTGTTGAATTTAGGCCTATTTAACCGTTTTTGAGGATGTTGCCGGTGACGGGGACCCGATTGCGGCACAGTTTCGGAAATGTCTCGACCAGACCTACCGATGGGGCGAATAAAAATTTTTAGTCGGTCGGTCCCCTTTTTTGAAGATTGAGTGGATTTTGTTGAATTTAGGCCTATTTAATCGTTTTTGAGGATGTTGCCGGTGACGGGGACCCGATTGCGGCACAGTTTCGGAAATGTCTCGACCAGACCTACCGATGGGGCGAATAAAAATTTTTAGTCGGTCGGTCCCCTTTTTTGAAGATTGAGTGGATTTTGTTGAATTTAGGCCTATTTAATCGTTTTTGAGGATGTTGCCGGTGACGGAGATCCGATTGCGGCACAGTTTTGGAAATGTCTCGACCAGACCTACCGATAGGGCGAATAAAAATTTTTAGTCGGTCGGTCCCCTTTTTTGAAGATTGAGTAGGTTTGCTCGGAAACGGTGAGAAATTTGTTCCCCTTTTTTGTAGATAAAGTAGGTTTTCTCGGAAACGGTAAGGAATTTTCAACTTTAGGGATTTTTCCCAATTTTCCCATAAAATTTGGAATTGAATGGAAAAAACCGCAAGTCTCTACGACCACTCCTTCACCCCAAACATTTCTATGAGTGAGTCAGTGAGTCAGTCGGATTGAGGCTTTATAGGTTCTTGAGGGTCAAGGAGTGGTCGTAGAGACTTGCGGTTTTTTCCATTCGATTCCAAATTTAAGGGGGCTCATACATGTTAAAAGCACTTTTGTAAAAAAAAATTTTGATGTAGACGGATTAAGATTTTACAATTTCTGTGTTAAAATCCTTTTAGATAATTGAGTAAGCTTCATTTTGGCTTAAGGGAAAGTGACTTTGGACATTTTTTGGAGATTTAGTCGAAACGTTTAAAATTTTGCTTCTCGTAAGATTTTGTTCGCATACTTGCTCAGATCTGTGGGGAAAAAATCAGGGAGACTCATCCCCAGTAGTGTCATAGAATTGACTAGAATGGGCTTTATATCTGCAATAGTTTTCAAGAAAAAAAATAAAAACAATTTTTTTAACAATTTTTTAAACAAATTTTCAACAAAAAATTGTTTTTATTTTTTTTCTTGAAAACTATTGCAGATATAAAGCCCATTCTAGTCAATTCTATGACACTACTGGGGATGAGTCTCCCTGATTTTTTCCCCACACATCTGAGCAAGTATGCGAACAAAATCTTACGAGAAGCAAAATTTTAAACGTTTCGACTAAATCTCCAAAAAATGTCCAAAGTCACTTTCCCTTAAGCCAAAATGAAGCTTACTCAATTATCTAAAAGGATTTTAACACAGAAATTGTAAAATCTTAATCCGTCTACATCAAATTTTTTTTTAAAAAAGTGCTTTTAACATGTATGAGCCCCCTTAATGGGAAAATTGGGAAAAATCCGAAAAGTTCAAAATTTCTTACCGTTTCCGAGCAAACTTACTTAATCTTCAAAAAGGAGGATCAAATTCCTCACCGCTTCCGAGCAAACCCACTCAATCTTCAAAAAAGGGGACCGACCGACTGAAAATTTTTATTCGCCCTATCGGTAGGTCTGGTCGAGACATTTCTGAAACTGTGCTTTTATTCGCCCCATCGGTAGGTCTGGTCGAGACATTTCTGAAACTATGCCGCAATCGGGTCCCCGTCACCGGCAACATCCTCAAAACGATTAAATAGGCCTAAATTTCAACAAAATCCACTCAATCTTCAAAAAAGGGGACCGACCGACAAAAATTTTTTATTCTCCCCATCGGTAGGTCTGGTCGAGACATTTCCGAAACTATGCCACAATCAGGTCTCCGTCACCGGCAACATCCGCAAAACGATAAAATAGGCCTAAATTCAACAAAATCCACTCAATCTTCAAAAAAGGGGACCGACCGACTAAAAATTTTTATTCGCCCCATCGGTAGGTCTGGTCGAGACATTTCCGAAACTGTGCCGCAATTGGGTTCCCGTCACCGGCAACATCCTCAAAAACGATTAAATAGGCCTAAATTTAACAAAATCTACTCAATCTTCAAAAAAGGGGACCGACCGACTAAAAATTTTTATTCGCCCCATCGGTAGGTCTAGTCGAGACATTTCCCAAACTGTGCCGCAATTGGGTCCCCGTCACCGGCAACATACTCAAAATCAATCATCAATTGTCATCAAGAACCTATTAAGCCCCAAAATCCGACTGACTGACTCCTTCACTCATCAATCAAGAACCTATATAGCCCCAATCCGACTGACTGACTCACTCACTCACTCACTCACTCATAGAAATGTTTGGGGTCAAGGAGTGGTCGTAGAGACTTGCGGTTTTTTCCATTCAATTCCAAATTATATGGGAAATTTTTTCCAATTGACTGACTGACTGACTGACTCACTCACTCACTCATAGAAATGTTTGGGGTCAAGGAGTGGTCGTAGAGACTTGCGGTTTTTCCATTCGATTCCAAATTTTATGGGAAAATTGGAAAAAATCCCAAAAGTTGAAAATTCCTCACCGTTTCCGAGCAAACCTACTTAACCTTCAAAAAAGGGGACCAAATTCCTCACCGTTTTCTAGCAAACCCACTCAATCTTCGAAAAAGGGGACCGACCGACTAAAAATTTTTATTCGCCCTATCGCTAGGTCTGGTCGAGACATTTCCAAAACTGTGCCGCAATCTGGTCCCCATCACCGGCAACATCCTAAAAACGATATAAAAATAGGCCTAAAATCAACAAAATCCACTCAATCTTCAGAAAAGGGGACTGACCGACTGAAAATTTTTATTCGCCCTATCGGTAGGTATGGTCGAGACATTTCCGAAACTCTGCCGCAATCGGGTCCCCGTCACCGGCAACATCCTTCAAACGATTAAATAGGCCTAAATTTAACAAAATCCACTCAATCTGCAAAAACGGGGACCGACCGACTAAAAATTTTTATCCGCCCCATCGGTAGGTCTGGTCGAGACATTTCCGAAACTGTGCCGCAATCGGGTCCCCGTCACCGGCAACACCCTCAAAATCAATCATCAATTATCATCAGCAAGAACCTATATAGCCCCGAAATCCGACTGACTCCCTCACTCTCTCACTTTGTTTGGGGTCAAGGAACAGTCGTAGAGACTTGAGGTTCTTTCCATTCGATTCCAAATTTTATGGGAAAATGGGATAAAATCCCAAAAGTTGAAAATTCCTCACCGTTTCCGAGCAAACCTACTTAATCTTCTTAAAAGGGGACCGACTGACTAAAAATATTTATTCGCCCCATCGGTAGGTCTGGTCGAGAATTTCCGAAACTGTGCTGCAGTCGGGTCCTTGCCACCGGCAATGGGGTAATCATCATCATCAATCATCATCAAGAACCTAATCATCATCAAGAACCCATATAGCCCCAATCCGACTGACTGACTCACTGCCGCACTCACTCACTCACTCACTCATAGAAATGTTTAGGGTCAAGGGGTGGTCAGAGAGACCTGCGGTGTTTTCCATTCACCTCTATTCGTGTCAAAGCAGTCTTCAATATTTTCCGGACCTTGTATGCACCAATTGACTGCTACAGTAGACAATGCAATACAAGCTATCTATTTGGGCAGTAAAAGTATTGCTTAATTATATGGTCAAAAGCTGTTAAATAGACATTTCAAAAAAGCAGTACATTTACTTCCTTAGAAAATTTGCCTTTGGTCACCACGGACTTGCTGAAAATACTTCGGCACGCGCCCCACAAATGCGGGGGTCTGGGGGCGGAGCCCCCAGCGAGCAGCGCGAGTGACTACTTATGGATGTAATATGATTGGTAGTATTGGGTTGACGGGCACTTAACAAAAACCGTCACATGGTACCCCACCTTCCCTTACTTTTCTTCCCCAACCTACCCCTACTTATTTAAGCACACTCGTTAGAGTGTACTTATCTGAGCACACTCTCGTTGGAGTGTATTCATGTGAGCGCACTTTCGTCGGAGTGTACTTATCTTAACACACTCGGAGTGTGCCCATCTGAGTACACTCTGGTCGGAGTGTACGTTTGAGTACACACTGCACAGAGTGTGCTGGGGACGCCGTTGAGTTTGCAGAGCGTGTGCGACATGATGTCTCTAACTGCATCAGTGACACGTTGGTTGCAGGGTGACCCTGGTGTCCCACTGACGGTGAGGGACTACACACTCGTCACGCCCTTCGACGAACAGCACCACGTCGATCGCGTGCTTGGAGTGGCGTCTTCACTTTCCTACTGCACTGCAAGGACGCAGAGCGGCAATAGCCTGCCTGACCTCTTCACGAACGTCCTCAACTTTTTGCCTTGGATCGAGAGCGTCGTGTGGCCCAATCAGGCGTAGTGGGATCGGAATCATCCGTGGAAACAGGAATCAGAATATGAATCCTCACTTGTATCGGATATGGACTTGAAATCGACCCAGGCGCTCCAAGGCCTGCGGAGACGGTCTTTATAAAGACTGACGCTTTTTTAGGTCCAGAGTCGCTGTACAGGACTCGGATGGAACGTGTGACCCCCACTAATGGGTTTTTACTCGAACGGGGAATCCATTGGTGGAGTAACACGTTTGGTTCAAGTCCTGTACGGCCACCCAGGAGCTCAAAAACGTGTTTAGAATAATGACCACCTCTACCGATATTCTGGGCCAAGGTACACCCTGGCCGGTGATGTCTTTGTGCACTCGTGCGGCTATTTCCCGTACGATTTAGGCGTTAATATAAATTGGGATGGGCACACTGCAAGAAAAAGTGTGAACAGTACTACAAAAGTACAACAAAAACTGTACAATAAAAGTACAACAGGGATTGTAGAATGTACAACGAGAATTCACAAACCACAACGAGGCCTGGACTACACAGCACTCCTCATGCCGGTTCCATTGTACTTTTTGTACTTTGCAAGTACAATAAATTCCTGATAAAATATTTGCCAGAAATTTGTGTACTTATGTTGCGGTTTTTTCTTGCAGTGCAAGTGCTTTGCGATTATAAGTCATTGGATCTGGCGTTTCTGCACTGTGAGATTTAAAAAAAAATTATTTAAGGGGTATGACAAAGGAATCAATGTTTTAGGAGACATTGTTCATTGAGTTGTGTCGCCAAGCATACACTGTAAAAATTAATATCCGGAATAAACGACGGATCCTTCGGCAAAAAAATTGCCAACGATTCCTTCGTTAATTTACGAAGCTCTTCGTATATTTACAAAAACCTTCGTTAATTTTTTGAAAGATCTCTGCCGATTTTACAATCACAATGGAAATTTATGAAGCACCTTCGTAAATCTACAAAGATCCTTCGTAAATTTACAGGGAACCTTCGTTTATAAACAAAGAACCTTCGTTAATATACAGAGATTCTTCGTAATTATACGTCTGGAATTAACGACGGATCCTTCGGCAAAAAAATTGCCGACAGTTCCTTCGTTTATTTACGAAGGTCCGCCGTAGATTTACGAAGACCCGTCGTAGATTAACGAAGCCCGTCGTGAATTAACGAAGCCCTTCGTAAATTTACAACAAATTTTGTAAATTTACGATTTTTCTTCGTAAATTAACGACGAACCTACGTTGACTTAAAAAAGTTCCCGTAGGAAAGAAACATTTACAGTGCATTTTTGGACATTCCCAAAAACCCTTCGGAAAATATTCCGTCGTAAATTCACAACATATTTTTTACAGTGTAAGGTACGCAGAGAACAAGGACTGCGTCATCTGCGAGATTGCCGAGATCATCTGTAGTCAATGGACGTTTAGGTTTAATGAAAGGAACACTAGACTTGACACAAACAGAGACGGAAAATTCGACTACACGTTTTAAAAGTATACCGTTATTATTCAATAATGAATCCAGTCGCAAATAATGAAAGTCAACAGAGCACTTTACTTTCTGATGTACTCAACTCACACACTGTGGCACAAAGCAACGGAAAATTCTGTAACCAGCTTGTGGTAATTCTCCGTAGACCACTTGTCAGGATTCTCCGTAGGCTCTTACAGTATTTTCCGTGGGACCACACAGTCTTCTCCGTAGGACCTTACAGTCTTCCAGGTCCTACGGAGGAGACTGTGCCGTCCTACACAGAAAAAAGGAATTCGTTGACCCAACGAAAATGTGCGTTGATTCCGTGATAACCGAAAAAATTTGTTGGAGTTACGAAAACTTTGTTTGCGCAACGAAATTTTTGTTGGCAAAACTAACCATCTTTTAGGGCAACCAAAAGATTCGTCAAGGGAACAAAGTCACGATTTTGTCACTCCAACTAACTTTTTTGCTCCGCCAATGAATTGTTCGTCCTACCAACAAATTATTCGTTACGCAAAAAAACTGTTCGTTACTCAAACAAATTTTTTTCGGTTATCACGAAATCAACGTACATTTTCGTTGGGTCAATGAATCCCTTTTTTCCGTGTACGGAGAATACTATGCGGCTCTACGGAGAGTACTGTAAGAGCCTACGGAGGAAATTGATAAGAGGGCTACGGACAATTCTGGCAAAAAAATTAACAGAATTTTCCGTGCCTTTTTGCCACAGTGCAGATACCAGTGATACTGAATTCGTCCTCTAAAATGCAAACAAGGGCTATTAGTAAACGAGACCCACTTAGTTGATGAGTTCATAGGGTATAAAAAAGAGTGAATTTCTATGATTTCTGTTGTTGCCTCTATTAAGTTCATTGCTGTTCATTTAATACTGTTGTTCAGTGCATTCTGTTACAACCCCATCATGGAAACTTGTAAGCCTGTACTTTGTACCTCAGTACCAAATATCATTGTACCACAATGATGTTGTGAATAAAAATGAATTGTTTTTGAATCTAAGTCTGCACATTGCACGTACTCACTCACACCCGCAAAGATGGCCTCGCGTGCATCGTGGATTACGTGAGCGGCTTGAGTATTTTTACAAAAATTGGGGGAATCGGGAAGACGAAGCGAATCCCTTTTTATTCCAGCTTTATTCCAGAGTTCGATGTCTCGGCTAGACCTTTTTTAACGAGGCGTCGAAAAGGGTCCAGGAGCCCTTCATTGGTTGGCCCATTCAACTGTTTAAATGATGTTTGTCCCAACAAACATCATCACAGGCACCTCAACTGAAATCTACTACCCCAATAAACCTGGTGGAATTTACTGTCATTGGAAGGGGCCTTAATCAGTTTAAACAAGTTTTTAGAAAGTCGTTCTGTTAACGTTGAGAGAACTGAAACGCCCACCTTCTCTAGTTTCAAGCGCCACACGCAAGAGCGAAGATATTTCAAACAATGTTGTTAAAACTAATGAAAATAGTCAAAATTACAGCGGCGAACGAAACATATTTAGCTGTGGAGGAACTAGTCAGTGTAAACTCTGTCGGTTTTAAGTCTCTTGTGCGAGTACTGGAAGTCTGCGAGTCGGGCCCAAAAGGAGAATCGGTGGTTGTTTGAGAAACGGCAGCTGAAGTCGTCTCGGATGCCGGACTTGGGGGACTCGAGGGTTCAGTGGTAGAGCTTGCCGCCCTTGTAGACGGTTCGGGCGTGGTGAAGGGTTCGGATGTCGTAGAGAGTTCCGCTGCGGTGGAGGGTCCTGCCGCCGTCGAAGGTCTGGCCGTCGTCGCGGGTTCAGCCGGGGAAGTCGCTTTGGCCGTGACGGAGGATTTTGTCGTGGTGGCAGGTTCAGCTGTGGTTGGCGGTTTGGGCGTTGTGGCGGGTTCGGCTGTCGCAGAGCTTATAGCCGTCGAGGGAGTTCCGACCGCCGTGGTAGGTTTAGTCGTGGTAGATGATTCGACAGTAGTGGAGAGCTCAACAATGGGAGAGGGTTGAGCTGTTGTGGAGGTTTCCCCCGTGGTGGTGGGTTCTGCTATGGTAGACGGTTTGGCCGTTGCAGATGATTCAGATGTAGAGGGTTCGGCTGTCGTTGAAGGGCTGTCCGTGGTGGTAGGTACGGCCGTAGTTGATGGTTCTCCCTTGGAAGAGGGTTCAGCTGTCGTTGAAGGTCTGTCCGTGGCGGTGGGTACCGCCGTGGTTGATGGTTCTACCGTGGTAGGGGGTTCAGCCGTCGTGGAGGAACTGACTGTCGTTGTAGGACTGTCAGTGGTAGTGGGTACCACCGTGGTTGATGGTTCTACCGTGGTAAGGGGTTCGGCCGTCGTGGCGGGTCTGGCTGTTGTTGAAAGTCCGTCAGTGCCGCTGGGTATCGCCGTAGTTGATGGTTCTACCGTGGCAGTGGGGTCGGCTGTCGTTGAAGGGCTGGTCGTGGTTGATGGTTCTACCGTGGTAAGGGGTTCGGCCGTCGTGGAGGATCTGGCTGTTGTTGAAGGTCTGTCGGTAGTAGTGGGTTCCGCCGTGGTTGATGGTTCTACCGTGGTAGGGGGTTCAGCCGTCGTGAAGGAACTGACTGCCGTTGTAGGACTGTCCGTGGAAGTGGGTACGGCCGTTGATGTTGGTTCTAACGTGGTAGGGGGTTCGTCCGTCGTGGAGGATCTAGCTATCGTTGAAGGTCTGTCCGTGGTGGTGAGTTCCGCCGTGGTTGATGGTTCTACCGTGGTAGGGAGTTCCGCCGACGTGGAAGAACTGACAGTCGTTGTAGGACTGTCCGTGGTAGTGGGTAGCGCCGTAGATAATGGTTCTATCGTGGTAGAGGGTTCGGCCGTCGTTTGGGGTCTGGCTGTCGTTGAAGGTCTGTCCGTGGTGGTGGGTACCGCCGTGGTTGATTGTTCTACCGTGGTTGGGGGTTCGGTTGGTGTTAACGGTCTGGTCGTTGTGGTAGGAACAGCCGTGGTTGATGGTTCTACTGTGAAAGAGGGTTCAGCTCTCGTCAAAGGCCTGTCCGTGGTGGTGGGTACCGCCGTGGTTGATGGTTCTACCGTGGTAAGGGGTTCGGCCGTCGTGGAGGAACTGGCTGTCGTTGAAGGTCTGTCCGTGGAAGTGGGTACCGCCGTGGTAGGGGGTTCCACCGACGTGGAGGGACTGACAGTCGTTGAAGTCCTGTCCGTGGAAGTGGGTACGGCCGTTGGTTCTAACGTGGTAGAGGGTTCGGCCGTCGTGGAGGATCTAGCTATCGTTGAAGATCTGTCCGTGCTGGTAGGTACCGCCGTGGTTGGTGGTTCTACCGTGGTAGTGGGTTCGGCTGTCGTTGAAGGGCTGGTCGTTGTGGTTGGTACCGCCGTGGTTGATGGTTCTACCGTGGTAAGGGGTTCGGCCGTCGTGGATGAACTGACTGCCGTTGTAGGACCGTCTGTGGTAGTGGGTACCACCGTGGTTGATGGTTCTACCGTCGTAGGGGGTTCAGCCGTCTTGAAGGAACTGGCTGCCGTTATAGGACTGTCCGTAGAAGTGGGTACGGCCGTTGATGATGGCTCTAACGTGGTAAGGGGTTCGGCCGTCGTGGAGGATCTAGCCGTCGTTGAAGGTCTGTCTGTGGCGGTGGGCAACGCCGTGGTTGGTGGTTCTACCGTGGTAGAGGGTTCAGCTCTCGTCAAAGGCCTGTCCGTGGTGGTGGGTACCGCCGTGGTTGATGGTTCTACCGTGGTAAGGGGTTCGGCCGTCGTGGAGGATCTGGCCGTCGTTGGTCTGTCTGTGGCGGTGGGCAACGCCGTGGTTAATGGTTCTACCGTGGTAGGGGGTTCAGCCGTCGTGAAGGAACTGACTGCCGTTGTAGGACTGTCCGTGGAAGTGGGTACGGCCGTTGATGTTGGTTCTAACGTGGTAGTGGGTTCGGCCGTCGTGGAGGATCTAGCTATCGTTGAAGATCTGTCCGTGCTGGTGGGTGCCGCCGTGGTTGGTGGTTCTACCGTGGTAGTGGGTTCGGCTGTCGTTGAAGGGCTGGTCGTTGTGGTTGGTACCGCCGTGGTTGATGGTTCTACCGTGGTAAGGGGTTCGGCCGTCGTGGATGAAATGACTGCCGTTGTAGGACCGTCTGTGGTAGTGGGTACCACCGTGGTTGATGGTTCTACCGTCGTAGGGGGTTCAGCTGTCTTGAAGGAACTGGCCGCCGTTGTAGGACTGTCCGTGGAAGTGGGTAGGGCCGTTGATGATGGTTCTAACGTGGTAGAGGGTTCGGCCGTCGTTGAAGGTCTGTCTGTGGCGGTGGGCAACGCCGTGGTTGATGGTTCTACCGTGGTAGGGGTTCGGCTCTCGTTAAAGGCTGTCCGTGGTGGTGGACCGCCGTGGTTGATGGTTCTACCGTCGTAGGGGTTCAGCCGTCTTGAAGGAACTGGCTGCCGTTGTAGGACTGTCCGTGGAAGTGGGTACGGCCGTGATGATGGTTCTAACGTGGTAAGGGGTTCGGCCGTCGTGGAGGATCTAGCCGTCGTTGAAGGTCTGTCTGTGCGGTGGGCAACGCCGTGGTTGGTGGTTCTACCGTGGTAGAGGGTTCAGCTCTCGTCAAAGGCCTGTCCGTGGTGTGTGGGTACCGCCGTGGTTGATGGTTCTACCGTGGTAGGGGTTCGGCCGTCGTTGAAGGTCTGTCTGTGGCGGTGGGCAACGCCGTGGTTGATGGTTCTACCGTGGTAGGGGGTTCGGCTCTCGTTGAGGGGCTATCCGTGGTGGTTGGAACTGCCGTGGTTGATGGTTCTACCGTCGTAGGGGGTTCAGCCGTCTTGAAGGAACTGGCTGCCGTTGTAGGACTGTCCGTGGAAGTGGGTACGGCCGTTGATGATGGCTCTAACGTGGTAAGGGGTTCGGCCGTCGTGGAGGATCTAGCCGTCGTTGAAGGTCTGTCTGTGGCGGTGGGCAACGCCGTGGTTGGTGGTTCTACCGTGGTAGAGGGTTCAGCTCTCGTCAAAGGCCTGTCCGTGGTGGTGGGTACCGCCGTGGTTGATGGTTCTACCGTGGTAGGGGTTCGGCTCTCGTTGAGGGCTATCCGTGGTGGTTGGAACTGCCGTGGTTGATGGTTCTACCGTGGAAGGGGGTTCGGCTCTCGTTGAGGGGCTATCCGTGGTGGTTGGAACTGCCGTGGTTGATGGTTCTACCGTCGTAGGGGGTTCAGCCGTCTTGAAGGAACTGGCTGCCGTTGTAGGACTGTCCGTGGAAGTGGGTACGGCCGTTGATGATGGCTCTAACGTGGTAAGGGGTTCGGCCGTCGTGGAGGATCTAGCCGTCGTTGAAGGTCTGTCTGTGGCGGTGGGCAACGCCGTGGTTGGTGGTTCTACCGTGGTAGAGGGTTCAGCTCTCGTCAAAGGCCTGTCCGTGGTGGTGGGTACCGCCGTGGTTGATGGTTCTACCGTGGTAGGGGGTTCGGCTCTCGTTGAGGGGCTATCCGTGGTGGTTGGAACTGCCGTGGTTGATGGTTCTACCGTGGAAGGGGGTTCGGCTCTCGTTGAGGGGCTATCCGTGGTGGTTGGAACTGCCGTGGTTGATGGTTCTACCGTCGTAGGGGGTTCAGCCGTCTTGAAGGAACTGGCTGCCGTTGTAGGACTGTCCGTGGAAGTGGGTACGGCCGTTGATGATGGCTCTAACGTGGTAAGGGGTTCGGCCGTCGTGGAGGATCTAGCCGTCGTTGAAGGTCTGTCTGTGGCGGTGGGCAACGCCGTGGTTGGTGGTTCTACCGTGGTAGAGGGTTCAGCTCTCGTCAAAGGCCTGTCCGTGGTGGTGGGTACCGCCGTGGTTGATGGTTCTACCGTGGTAGGGGGTTCGGCTCTCGTTGAGGGGCTATCCGTGGTGGTTGGAACTGCCGTGGTTGATGGTTCTACCGTGGAAGGGGGTTCGGCTCTCGTTGAGGGGCTATCCGTGGTGGTTGGAACTGCCGTGGTTGATGGTTCTACCGTCGTAGGGGGTTCAGCCGTCTTGAAGGAACTGGCTGCCGTTGTAGGACTGTCCGTGGAAGTGGGTACGGCCGTTGATGATGGCTCTAACGTGGTAAGGGGTTCGGCCGTCGTGGAGGATCTAGCCGTCGTTGAAGGTCTGTCTGTGGCGGTGGGCAACGCCGTGGTTGGTGGTTCTACCGTGGTAGAGGGTTCAGCTCTCGTCAAAGGCCTGTCCGTGGTGGTGGGTACCGCCGTGGTTGATGGTTCTACCGTGGTAGGGGGTTCGGCTCTCGTTGAGGGGCTATCCGTGGTGGTTGGAACTGCCGTGGTTGATGGTTCTACCGTGGAAGGGGGTTCGGCTCTCGTTGAGGGGCTATCCGTGGTGGTTGGAACTGCCGTGGTTGATGGTTCTACCGTGGAAGGTCTGTCCGTGGTGGTCGGTACCGCCGTGGTTAATGATTCCACCGTGGTAGAGGGTTTGGCCGTCGCGGAGCTTTCCGCCGCAGTGGAGGATTGCGCTGTAGAGGTGTGTTCCGCTGTGGTAGACGCTTTGGCCGTTGTAGACGATTCAGCTGTCGTAGAGCTCTCCGTCGTTGGTTTCTGTAAGAGAATGCAATTTTTAAAGGAGCACTTTTGTGCCTTCAATGCATTTTGGACGGTTAAATACACTGCGTTGCGAGCAGCGGGCTGCACGCTCGGCCCGCCGATTAACTTTTTATCGAGTGAACGCACTCATGATTGACCAGTGACCTATCACAATGTAGTCAGTACATACTTCCCTCGGTTAGACCATAAGAATGGCATTCACCTACTGCCCGCCGGGCTTAGAGAGGGCCCCTTGAGTATACGAGCCCAGGCGAAAATGGAAACGGTAAGAGCGTGTTCTCTGTCAGTTCGGTGAACAGGTAAGAAACGCGTTACAGAGACGAAACAGCGTAAGAACGCGGACAACAATAAAGGAGCGTTTATAGTCTGTTTTCATTACATCCACGAAACAGCTTCCCGATAACAGACAGCAAACAGCAAAAGAGCAGTGTGTTGTCTGCTTCGCACTAGTTCTTTTAACAGCTAAGAAACAGTCAGCTCAACCTGTTCGGAAACGGAGACGATTCCTCTTATGGCCGGTTTACCGTCTGTTTCTCAAACGTGCAGGAAACACTTAGCTCTACCCGCGCGCGAACGTACACGGAACGTCCTTTAGTCGGTTAGATGTGTGATTACAAACTCGTAAAGAACGGGGAAACTCTGCCTGAGCCCGAACGGGTAAGGAACGTCCTGTAGCCGGTTGCCTGTGTGGTTACAAACACGTAAAGAACGGGGAAACTCTGCCTGAGCCCGAACGGGCACGGAACGACCTGTAGCCGGTGCAATGTGCGTTTACAAACACGTTACGAACACGGAGCTCTGCCTGCGTCCGAACAGACGCGAAACGTCTTTCACCAGTTCAGTGACTGTTCATAAACATGGAAGGAACAGACAACGCTACAGTCACAGTGGAGGGGGGAGGCGGACAGAGTGGGGCGGGCGTCGGAAGGAGGCAGGTTGTTGCCTGACTGCTCCGTCTATGAGTGTGTTTCACGGTTCCACGCAGCATGTGCAAGGGTGGCCGAGTGGTAAGGCGATGGCACTGTGATCGGTTGGCGCGGGTTCAATCCCGGGTCGGGGCCGATGCAGGAGGACCGTAGCAAGCCACGAGGTAAGGAAAGTAGTGAATGGAAAAGGAGGAGCAGAGGAGAGGGGAGAGAGGGGGAGCGGGAGAGAGGGGGAAGGGGGTAGGGGGTAGGGAAGGAGGAAAGAGGGGTAAAAAGTAAATAATTTTTTTTATTTTATTTTACGGTGTCCGGGAGTGAAGGACTGGAGGGGAGACGGCAGAAGACAGCCGCGCATGCCGGTGGAGGGGGCAGCGGCGCGGCAGGCGCGGCACCCCCACCACAGCCGCGGAGTCCGTTCTCTCTTCACGTAAGGAACAGGCAGTGAACAGGTTGCAGCTGGTTAGGGGAACGCCTAGGGAACACACTACGAACGGTCAACCATCTAGGCCGGCTACACGTAAGAAACAGACAGTGAACAGGCAATAGACTGTACACTGCAAAAAATCAGTGTCTGATACGGATCATGCTACGGCGTTCCGTATACCCCCTGAAATGGTGATACGGACATCTGCCGTACTACTCCTCCCATAAGAGCCTGTGCTTTGTAAAGCGTACTACGGAAATTTAACGGAAAATGTACCGCTAATTTTACACCGGAGGTTGCCGTTTCAGTTTTCCGTTTGTGAATAAGTCCAAAATGCTCTACGGGCAGTAAGGAACGGTCGCTCCGTAACGCAAAGTTCTGTGACGAAACGCATGAAACGGTCACTCGGTAGGGATACGGACTGGCCGTTACACGTTGTCCGTTATAGAAATTGGAGTTACGGAGTGTCTGTTCCTCACTGTCCGTAGAGCATTTTGGACTATTTCACAAACGGAAAACCGAAACGGCAACCTCCGGTGTAAAATTAGCGGTACATTTTCCATTAAATTTCCGTAGTACGCTTTACAAAGCACAGGCACTTATGGGAGGAGTAGTACGGCAGATGTCCGTATCACCATTTCAGGGGGTACACGGAACGCCGTAGCATGATCCGTATCAGACACTGATTTTTTGCAGTGTACAGCAACAGACAGTGTGTTCGAATTTACTTGACAAGAACAGGCTACTGGCCGTGGCAAGATCACTGTACAGTAAAACTCCCATCCAAGCTGACAAATCGGGGGACAGATTAAGCTTCGAGAGAACAGCCCGATTCGTTGACCACATGGTGCAAGGGACGGCGAGGGTCGACCCGGTGCGCCGGGAGGGCAATAAACGCAGGTGCAGTCGGTTGCAGCAAGTTTTGGCGAAACTTTAAAAAATCATATCTCGGGAACTACTTGTCCGATCGGCCTGAGATTTCGCACAGCACGGTATCTCATGTAATACTACACGCAAAAAAAATTGAATCGCGAGTTTGGGCTGATTTGGACCTAGACAAGTCGGGCTAGTGGAGCGGTCACTGCCGGTTTATGGCCCTCAACTGTCATCCCCTTGTCAAACGGCGACCTCGCACCGAGCTGCGAAGGGACTGGCTACACAGCGAAAATTAAAAAAAAGCTTGGATGGAATCAGCTTAGAGGGGAGTTTTACTGTAGAAACAGCCTGTACCATGTTCACGAACAGACACATTTTCGCCTGGGAGGGTGCGTTAAGTTCGCCCAATGTGAAACTAAACGATGAAGCAAGTGCGTGGTGGATGATCGGTTACTGGGGAAACCCAAACGGAAACTCACGTGACTTTCAAATTTGAGTTTAGGCCAATTGTAGCGCAGTTTCACCTTCTTTAAAAGTCCTCTTAATTGCACATGTGACGACCGTATCGATTGCAAATTATTAAGATCCTTAAAATTGAGTAATCGTTCACCACACTCACATTTACTCAAGAAGCCCTAATAGAGTGGAGCGTTTTTCCACATTTTGCGATGATCAAAACGTAATGCGGAAAAGTTGCGAAAAAAAAATGCGAACATGAAAGTGAGGTTAAGAGTTTCGGCACTGCTCGTTTTCACGATTAGCTTCCACGGTATAAATAGCTTCCATTGTTTTTCTTGCTTTGACAACTGAACGAAATCAAGATTTTATCACGCAAACAATCCCAAACTCCCGTATTACAATTTATGCAAGGTCAAAGTCACGAAGTGTAGCGGCAACATTTCAAGCGATTTCCTTGGAAAATCAAAGAATTTGAAGGGATCTTTGGAATCATTTCACTCGAGCTGACCAATTTTCAAGGGGACCCGTTGTAATTTGAGCTTATTCCAAGGGACTCCCTTGGGTTTGCTCGCTACTCTTGGATTCCAAGGAAACGTTTTTATCGTGCAGGTCCCCAGGTACGAACTCCCAACCCTCCCTTATCGAACCTCGCCAAACCCTCCGATGTACAGGACCTGACCGAGCGTTGTACCTGAGTTGAAGTTGTGGTTATGGTTTTCCACCAGTCACAGTATTTCGAAATAAGAAATTCCTTGAATTTGCATTCTCTGGTTTCGTAGTCAAAAACTTCCACGTGGAACAAGCCGCCGCATTTTGTCCCTTTCGACGCCGGCACTCCGTTTGTACACTGAATGTACATGTGACACCATCCCTCGCATGGCACTGGTAGTTTCTCGTCTCCTTTGCATCTGGAACACATCAATGTAATTGTTAGAGTACTTGACTAGAAATGTGCAGACGCGCGTACCTCGAGCTGTCACAGTGATCATGGGGGATCATGGCGTGTTACGGCAGTTTTCGTTTGTTGAAGAAGCTGTTCCGATTTTAAGATCTTTGGCCAGCACAACACGAACTTTTTTTCACCGAGGGGTCCACTTCTCAGAATTTTGGTGTTCACGTTTCCTCCGTTTCAGGATTCCTAGGAGATTCCATCCATGATTCCCACGCGATTTGTATGAACCGTGCGAATCTTAAGTTATTCCGACTGGTTATTAAACGGTGCTGTGGGTCGAAACATGGTCAGGTTTGGTCGTGCCATGGCCCATAGAGTCAGAAAGGACAAAAACCGAAAATCGGTTTTCTTCACTCCCTCCCCTAATTTGACTAGTGGAGTGTGAATGAGATGCGTCGCAACTCTTCTTTATGTACTGACCTGCCGTTTTCTAGACTATAACTGTAAAACAAATCGCAGATGGCGGGATCTGCTGTCAAGCTAGTCGGCAACGCTGTTGCGACGGCCACCACAACGATAAGAATAGGGACGACGACTGAAAGACAAGAGGAAAGATAGGACTTTATTCACCAATTTTCTGAAACAAAATATCAATTGTACGTTGCATCGAAGTGGTACGTTTTGATGTCACAGGGGAAAGGCCATACCGTTTGGATTTTTTTGCCCTACGGGCAGGTTTTGAGTTAAGCCTTCGCCGCACTACAAGATGTCTGGATGAGCGCACAGCCTGTCCCACGGTAATTGCCAAAATAAAATTGTTACGGACAGACCGAAAAAAAAACACTCAAAACGTAAACAAAATATTCTTTTAGTGTGATCGCATAACGCTGCATATCTTTATCTTATCCACTTTGAAATTTCTGAATTTTGATGCGAATTCACGGCTTTAACAATAGGGCCTACAAAGCATGGTCCAACTCCCTGCACATCCAGCCACAATTTCAGTTCGTCCGTTCGTTCGAAACTATTTCAGCTCTGGCTTCTGCTATTATGAGTTGGAACATTTTCGATTCTACCGCAGATCATAGTGCACACTTCGAAAGTAAAGACGAACTACCATACTGTCGTAAGTTTACCGAAATGCATGGCTGCACGCCGTTGGCCCATGCGTTGCTCGTCGTGTGGCTCACTTCGTCTCGTCACCTAAAGTGGACTGCGTTCTTCAAAGGTCACTGCGGAGGGAAACAATCCATTATCTCGTTAATCGACTTCATTCATAGTCAATACGTCAATAATCGGATAACAGTAAGCCGGGGCAATAGCATTCAGCTGACGCCGAGCGCACAGCAAGCGCAGTTCACGGCCCTACCACGGACAGGAAAAGAGGCCATGCGATCCATTGGGCCCGAACAGGTGTCTTCTCATCTGCACTCTAAAACAAATTGTTGCGAACTTTTTCGTTTTGGCTAGTGAAACGTCCGTTCTTTGTGCTACTTTTAAGGGGGCAATACACTGAAAATGGCCAAAAACTGACTTGTGTGCTTACTTTCATACACTGTAAAAATTAATATCCGGAATAAACGACGGGTCCTTCGGCAAAAAATTGCCAACGGTTGCTTCGTTAATTTACGAAGCTCTTCATATATTTACAAAAACCTTCGTTAATTTTTTGAAAGGTCTCTGCCGATTTTCCAATCACAATGGAAATTTACGAAGCACCTTCGTAAATCTACAAAGATCCTTCGTAAATTTACAGGGAACCTTCGTTTATAAACAAAGAACCTTCGTTAATATACAGAGATTCTTCGTAATTATACGTCTGGAATTAACGACGGATCCTTCGGCAAAAAAATTGCCAACACTTCCTTCGTTTATTTACGAAGGCCCGCCGTAGATTTACGAAGACCCGTCGTAGATTAACGAAGCCCGTCGTAAATTTTCGAAGCCCTTCGTAAATTTACAACAGATTCTGTAAATTTACGTTTTTTCTTCGTAAATTTACGAAAGACCCTTCGTAAATTAAGGACGAACCTACGTTGATTTACAAAAGTCCCTGTAGGAAAGAAACATTTACAGTGCACTTTTGGACATTCCCAAAATCCCTTCGGAAAATATTCCGTCGTAAATTCACAACATACCGTAAACCGGGGTAACTTGAGACAGCAAGGGTAACTTGAGACACTTCTGTTTTTCGACCTTTTTGGAGCTGCCACCTAGCTCGGCACATTCGGAGGTCAATACTGCCCTAGCACTTTTTTCCATACTTGTTTGGAAAGACGATTAAGCGTTTGAATGGCGGGTTAGGACCAAGCTGGTCAGTTCTATAACGATTTTTCAATTTTAGTAAATTGAACTATTTTAAAGAAGTGTTACAAGTCTCCCTTGGTACTCGAAACACGTCTTGCTGAGACCCAAATGATCATGGTATCTTTCAACCCTATTATTTCAACATTCTAAATGCAGCATTGGTTTTGAGGGAAACCCATCATTCATCGGGTAATACTTACTTTTATTGAAAATGGTAACTGTGCGGGGTAACTTGAGACACCAAATTTCATTGAATTTGACGGAAGTTGAGTGGCATAACTTGACACTGGCACCTCCTTGTACTACAAGGTGGTTTAAAGTAACGGGCCTCTCCGTTCCAAGATCAAAACTAAGCCGCATTTGATCGGGAATCACTTTTTTAGACAGTGTAGAGGGTCCCAAGTGAATATGCAGCTTAAAGTTGGAGTGTTTTCTCAACTTCTCACGGACCGGATGAGACATAATAAATCTTGAAGTCTCAAATGATAGGGAATTGAATTACCTTTCCAACGAGCTAAATGTCATTGAAATCGGACAACTTATAGCTCAACAACCGTCGATTTTTTGGGGAACACACCAGAACGGGGTATCCCCAACTGTCCACCAATCCAACTTCCCCCCAAGACAAACTATCCACCAATAAATCTATTCCCCATTTAAAACGGATTATTTGACAATTTATTTAATTTTTGGTTCCTCCATTTAAAACTAAATAATAAGAATGAAAAATGCAAAATAAATGAGCTGAGCTCACTACTTTCCGTGTAAGTTGCCCTAAATAATTTTTAAAAATTATCAAATAATTATAAATAATTTCTAAAAATTATTTTAAAAACGTGGGGGCATAAATATGCTGCCGTAATGTCACTGTGGACACTATGAAAAATTTCCAAGGCTTAAAACCAGGTGACTGGCTGCCTCTAAGCTAGAGAGCCATCTAGGCTCCTTACTCTTGGCCGAAAGGTTCCGTCACTATGAAAAAGAGCGCAACCAGTCCCAGGCAGACCGCGCAGTCACGGTTGCGGTGAGCTTGGCGTACTCCAGGTTGTGAGGCCCTTGAGTCGTTCAAGCACGCCGAATAGGCCGCGCCGCAGGTAGCGTACGGTTGAGGCGTGCTTGGCGGCCTCCAGGTTGTGAGGCCTTTGAGTGGCACTTGGCACTAGCACGCCGCCTAGGCCGCGCCGCAGCCATCGTGTCCTACAAGTGCCCCTGTCATTCGTGCGTCACGCAGCCTCGCCACCAGGGCGACGGCGTGCTTGGCCGCCGGCATGCAGAGCCCTTCAGTCGCGCATGACGCCGCCTGGGCCACGTGTCGTTGAGGCGTGCTTGGCGTCCTCCAGGTTGTTGGGCCCTTGAATCACGCTAGCACGTCGCCTAGGCCGCGCCGCAGCCAGCGTGTCCTCCAGGCGCGACGCCACCACCGTTGAGGCGTGCTCTTGTCCTCTGCCAGGATGTTCAGCCTTTGAGTCACACAAGCACGCTGCCTAGGGCGGCTCCGGGCCGGGCACTCAAAGCGGTGGAAGGGTCGATTGTCGTCGCAGGGCCGTCACAAGGTCCCTGAAGAGCAGAAGACAGCGTGTCGGACTTCCCCGTGCCGGCTCCATCTCCGCTAGGGAGATCGGTCATGGTGCGACGCCGAAGGGGAAACGACTGAGAAACTTTGTGTACATCGGATAGGGATAACCCCGGATAACCCGCGGCTTACCTCCGGACTACATCGAAAAATTTCCAGGATAACCATTGGATTACGCCAGATTACCCCGGATTACTTCAAAATTTCTATTAATCCGGATAACGGATTACCAATTTGCTGTACACCGGACCGGATAACTGAAGTCGTTTCCGCATTGGGGCGATTCCATGCCAAACCAACGAACGCTTGGAATTTCATCTCTCCGATTTGGATGAAACTTTTTTTGGGGGTAGGGGTCATCATAAAAAGACCCCCTGCCAAAGGGTTTTGCGATATCTCACCCCGTTTGGCTGTGGCAGGATATCAAAGTTTTAGCTTTAGTCAAAATCATGATGTTTTCTTAAATTTCCTCTTTTCTGGCTGATTTTTTTTGGATTTTTTTCCATAGTGTTTCTTTACGCAAAAAGAGCTGGGGAACACGATGAAAATGGTTTCGAGACGATTGGGTGAAGTTTTGATGCCAAAATTTTCATTTTTCGTCATTTTTTTCGAAAAATCGCCATTCCCAAAATAGCTCATCTTCGATTTCGACCTAACTTTTACCAAATGATCCCCTAACATAGTGGAACAAAACCCTAAAAGGGTTTGGTCGACCCGCCCATAGGATCTGAGAAATCGCAAAAACAAATTTTGAAAAATCACCAAAATCGTGTATTTGAGGTGGTGTTGGTGGTGTTGGTTCTTGCCTGCGCTGCGCAGCCGTCTGTTCTGGTCAACATCGACTTCCCCGCTCGGCGTGCGAAGGCAAACCACCCGCCAGGAGCCCCTGCGAAGCTCGGATAGGCAACCCGCAGGCCAGAGTGCGCATGTGTGTGCGTTGGGTTGCCTACCTTCCATTACCATTACCACAAGGGCTAGACCACACATGAGATAACTGAACTTCACTTAAAGGCTAGACAACAATCAATCGTGTGAACAAGTCTATGTTTCTTCTGTTAAAGTGGTGAACAATTCATGTTGTAGAGGCGGAAGAAAAGGGGGGAGAGTTGAATTAGATAACGGTAAATACCCATTATTTACTCAATTTTAATTATGTACGCAAATGAAAATATAACAACTCATTTTTTCAATTTTTTAGAGTTGATCACTAAAAGTTGCCATCTTACTCTCATCTTGTCTGTGATAGATAGCATAAAATATGGTTTATTTGCTACTTTAACAATATCAACTTTAGCCAGTACATTTTCCAGCTGCACAGGCTCTTCAATATTGTCTGAAAGATAGTAATAGATGGAACCTGAAAACAAGATTTTAACAGTTGGAAAATCCACAGTGGTAAAATAATAAATTTTAATTATAATATTTTTGTTCAAACCTGGTTTCTTGATCTCTTCAAGGGGAACAGCCATGATTGATTGGGTGTCTACGTCGGTATTGGTTACCTGAGCAACACACCATGTTCTGCCTTTGGAGTGCACGGCAATGTAATCTCCAACATCTACAGACTCAAAAGAGGGTATTTTTCTGATAAGCTCTGCTGGGGCGAAAACTGACTCATCGGATGAAGAAAATCTGCTTGCCACCAATTCACCAACAGAGACAGGCAAGAATCTATGGTGGCTTCTAATTTGGTTGATTTGGAGTGCACGATTGAAGCGGGGAGCTAGAAAGGCTTGGGCTTCAATAACTTCCTGAGTGCTAACGTAACAAACATTCATTGTGGGCATCGCATCCTTAGCCCATTTGTACATTTCCAAAGGCGTTGATATGAGAGTGCCTTGGATACTGGCTCTAGCAGCGCACCTCTTTATGGCTCCACCAACTCCATCCGAAGGCCCTTTACCATGGGAGGTGGCAAAAAAATGCCATTCTGCCTTGATGCCAAAAAAATCTTGCTCATGGTAAGATAAATTAATCATGTTGAACACATTCTTGTATTGAGAGGCCGCTCCATCAGAGAAGTAATGCATTTTCTTCAAATTAGGTATGTGTGTCCTCAAGAACTCTACATGTTTCTTCTGAAATGCGTAGAAAGCAGTGGTTCCATGCTTCATATGATCTGAGATAATAACAAAGCTCAGAACTTTCAATTCCCCTTCTTTTTTGTAATATGTTACAAATGGATGTATGGTGGCTTGATCATTGTTAAAGTAATGACCTTGAACTGAGTCTTGAATTATGAATGAATAGTTCTCACTAAAATCACATATAGTTATGGCTTCATCAGGTCCAAGATTTTCTTTTAGATCCTTAAGGTACTGGGACTGCTGCTTGTTTATGAAGTGGTGTGGTGCAAGTTTTTCTAGCTTGGCTATGAAGGCTTCCAAGAAGGGACCCGTTTCCTGACAGTGGGTCTCAAGTGTGCTCCGGTCCACTTCAGTCCACTGCTTGTAGGTCACATTTTCGATGAAGTTTTCAGACAAAATATCATGCAGATGGTCTTCAAGTTGTTCGAAGCCGGGGCAGTCTTTACACCTTTCTAGAAAACATGTTGCTGATGGAGTGGGACACAACGCAGTTGAGATAAAGTCCTTGTATGAAACCAAACTTTCATCGAAAGACTTGAAATTAGCACCCTCCATTAGAAGCTTGACATTCTCATGATGCTTACATACACACACTGAGTGTGTGCCTGCAGAACGTGCAAGCACACAATGTGCAGGCCTTAAGCTAGCAAATTTGGAGAATGATATGTTGCTGAGCGGATTTTCTTCCTTAAAACTCCGAAAAAGTTCTTTCAAATTGCAAAGTATTAACTTTTTCTGAACGTACTGCTTCTCCTTTCCAGCCTCTCTGATAATGACGCAGTCTTTTTTTCCTGGCAACTGCCTGCTGTTTGCTTCGCTTTCATAATGACTTAGGACAAGTTTCAAAGTTTCATCAGAGATAGACAGCGAAGCTTTCTTTGGAATTGCAGTGGGGAACATTCCCTGTTCCTTTGTTAGTGCAGCTGTCTTCCTTATCATCCAATCAGTTGCACCAACTGGCTGAAACAATTCTAAAACTTTGTTTGGATTGAAACCAGCCAAAGCAACGGACAGAACTGACATTTTGTCCGCATTTGATTTGGAGTTCTTAAATTTATCTTGTAATGCAGCTAAAACTTTTGAGCCAAAGTCTGTCTCTTCATCTCGTCTCACAAAGGAACTTGGAGTACCACTTTGAACAGCCAGAGTCTCTAACTTCCCATAAACTCTCTTCAACTTTCTTGGAACATAACTTGGCTCTGTTTCCATTTTTCTCTTTACCATTGGTCCTTCATTAAGGGGTTTGATTGATTGATTTAAAGTTTCTAAGGCAAGTTTGTCGTCGATGAATAGATCACCACTTGATGGCACGTTCGCGTTCTGGTAAAATGAATAAATAAATAAATAAATAAATAAATAAATAAATAAATAAATAAATAAATATGAAAATAACTAAATTAATAACACAATAAAAATCACATTCAACCCCATCTTCACTAAACAGGTCTCGTGATTCATTTTGAGAACTGCTGTCTGAGCTTGGTGTTGCAGTAGCTGGAGCATAAGAAGCTAAAATGGGCACAATGATGGCAGTACAGCGCATGCATAATTTTTGGCCAGGGATAAGAGACCGCTTGAAAGGCACTTCTTCCCCAGCTGCCTTGCTTGACAGGTACTCATCCACTGTGATAACTCTTACACCAGCCACTTTTTGTTCATGTTTTTGGTAAGGATCAATGCAGTGCTTCTGCCTCAAGCAGTAAAAATTTAAAAACACAGATGTATGTCCTTCACATATTTTCCTTATCTTTCCTATGCCACTTCTTACTTTCAAGCATAGCCATTCCTCGTCTGTAAAGTCTCCCTTTGACTTTGAAGGGCCATCGCACTGACCCAGGGCTACGAGAGAACATTGACTGGAGGATCTGAGAAAGACAGAAAAACTCATTAAAACTAATAAGACCAGATTTTAAATAAAAGCTTTCAGTATCATTCATGAAATTTACCCCTTCTCAGACATCACAGCGATTCGGATGTACGATATAATAACCAGCCACCTTGGCCGTGAGCTGGTAGCCTCTAAATACAAACAACAAACAAATCTCCTCGCGACGCGCATTCGACCCAGGTGGCTTATTTAGATTCGTATTCAGATATTCATTGTCTCAGCAAATTTCTCATCAATATATGAAAAATCCTACATCTCTAAGGAAAAGGACAGGGGAAAAGGAAGGTACGGACCGGGCTGCCTAGGAGAGAGATGGGAGACAGGAAGATCAACACAAAACTGCCCACTTGTATATTAACTGGGGTTAGCACAGGCCTTCATAATCCTTTAAGGCGAGCGGGGTAGGATGGATGTAGGCGGTACTCGGGTGCCCGGAAGGTAGGCAAGCGGGCCAACGCACGCACATCGCACTTTGCCTGCGGGTTGCCTATCCGAGCTTCCGAGGCGCTCCTGGCCAGGTGGTTTGCCTTCGCACGCCGAGCGGGGAAGTCGATGTTGACCAGGACAGACGGCTGCGCAGCGCAGGCAAGAACCAACACCACCAACACCACCTCAAATCACGATTTTGGTGATTTTTCAAAATTTGTTTTTGCGATTTCTCAGATCCTATGGGCGGGCCGACCAAACCCTTTTAGGGTTTTGTTCCACTATGTTAGGGGATCATTTGGTAAAAGTTAGGTCGAAATCGAAGATGAGCTATTTTGGGAATGGCGATTTTTCGAAAAAAAAATGACGAAAAATGAAAATTTTGGCATCAAAACTTTACCCAATCGTCTCGAAACCATTTTCATCGTGTTCCCCAGCTCTTTTTACGTAAAAAAACACTATGGAAAAAAATCCAAAAAAAATCAGCCAGAAAAGAGGAAATTTAAGAAAACATCATGATTTTGACTAAAGCTAAAACTTTGATATCCTGCCACAGCCAAACGGGGTGAGATATCGCAAAACCCTTTGGCAGGGGGTCTTTTTATGATGACCCCTACCCCCAAAAAAAGTTTCATCCAAATCGGAGAGATGAAATTCCAAGCGTTCGTTGGTTTGGCATGGAATCGCCCATTGTGCGACGCAGGGGCGCAACCACAATTCTCGGAACGATTTTCTGAGTTCAGCACCATCGCCACCCCGCCACCCTCGCGGCCTTGGCACCTGGCGGCCTCGGCCGAGAAGCGCGCGACGACGCGCAGCAGCAGCCGGGGCCGGCTGCACCCGCTAGTGCCTATCGGCGCTCCGTCTCTCTCGCACTCGCGGGACATTCCATGCGGGTGTGAGGGAGATGGAGTGACGACGCACAGGGGGTGCAGGGGTTCCCGACGAGTTGCAAGTTCTTTTGAAAACATTTATTGCTGAGTCTTCTTCCTTTTCCCCTGCTCACTGTTGAAGACCCAATAAAATATTCTATCTTTTCTGTTTCAAAATTCATGTTTCATTTTCATTTCTTCTAGTTGTGACACTCTTTCTGTACTACCCTAAAGGCAGGAACGTGGACTCACGTACGTACATCCCATGGATGCATTTTTAATACAAGGTAGGTTTACGCCAGACCGCGTCTTGTCGTAACAGGCTTCGCGATGTCTCGCTGCCTGTTCCTCAAATCCGCGCCTGGCGTACCTACCTTGGCCTGCGGCGCTAGCCTGCCTTCGGCAGGCAATGGCTTGTCCATCGTCGGTTACTTCTAACTTGGTGCATGCTGGGGGGCTCCGCCCTCCAGACCCCCCTTCATTCTAGATCCCTTGCAACTTTTCAACTTGTCGGAGACCCCCCTTCTTCAAGACAGAAGTGATCTGCCTGCAGAAAACTCGATTTCTCGCCGTTTTTTAGGTGTTTTTCGGCTATAAAAACTGAACCAGTTGAGCTAGGATAGTGTAATTTCGCGTGTGCCGAGCCAAGGACATGCCCAAAAAGTGTGCAAAATCTCACCGAGATCGGCCGAGCCGTTCAGGAGGAGTAGTGCGGACAGACACACACACAGACAGACAGACAGACAGACAGACAGGAAAAACTTTTCAACCCCAATGGAGTAACAGGCTTCGCTATCGCTCAGCCAATTACAAAACATTCCAGTTTCAGTAGAAACTAGGCAATAAGAAAGCACGCCTCAACAGTGGTGGCGTCGCGCACGGAGGACAGGCTAGGCTGGCTGCGGCGCGTCCGCGGCGGCGTGCTGCACGACTAAAGGTTATGCATGCCGGTGGAGGCCAAGAACGCCGTCACCCAGGTGGTGAGGCTGAATGCCGCACGAATGGCAGGACACGCTGGCTGCGGCGCGGCCTAGGCGACGTGCTAGTGTGATTCAAGGGCCCAACAACCTGGAGGACGCCAAGCACGCCTCAACGGTGGTGGCGGCGCGCCTGGAGGACAAGCTGGAAGCGGCGCGGCCAAGGCGGCGTGCTTGCGTGACTCAAAGGCCCTACAACCTGGAGGACGCCAAGCACGCCTCAACGACACGCGGCCTCGGCGGAGTCATGCGCGACTGAAGGGCTCTGCATGCCGGCGGAGGATCTTCTATTTTTTGAATAGAAGGGCGGGCCAAAAAAGTAGTGTCAGTCAATTATGTAACGGATACTCTCTCTCTCTCTCTCTCTCGGCAAATGGTGAAAGAAAAGTAGAGTTTTAGTGCATCTATTTGGTGGGAGAAGAGAACCGATAGGCGTTCTGAGACCTTTATTTTAATTTATTTTAATTATTTTCTGATCAGCAATGCACAGGTACTCACCAGCAGAAGTAGAAGTAACACGCCTACTCCTTGATAGGGCACCAGAGCTTTCAATTGCCACCGAATCCACTCGTTTTCTCTTGGAAAGCGGTCCCAGCTCAGACACTCTAGATTTAAAAGTCTGCATGAAAGCGTCATCTGCCGAGGGCAAAATAATTTCTAGAGTGTCTTCGTCTAAAACGAGGAAGGCATTGAAGACGATCTTGTGTTCTGCAACAAAAGGAATGGGTGTTAGAGAGCGCAAGCCCCGTCCACAGACTGGCACGAGAAACTGTTATGAACGGTACAGTTTAAAGAATAAAGAAGATAGGTTATACTGGGAAAAATAAAATGCAGGAGTCTGCACTCCCTGTTATGAGACAAATATTAACCTGCCTTCAACTTGAGACAAATACGTGACACTACAAACCACTACTCGGCGAACATAACCTCATAACCTCAAACTTGGCGGCCAAAGTAACACAATATTTGTACATGTCAAGACCATAAGAAGATTAGTGTCGATGCGTACGAGTCCATCGAAACGAGAACACAAATCCAAGAGCAAGAACACGATTGACACGATCAATACCTTAAATTACTTCAAACTTACTGGCAAAGTGCTGTTGGAGATGCTCGAAGCCCCAGTCGGCCAAAGCCGCTGCGACATCTTTGTCGCAAGCCACAGATGACATGCTGCCTGATGCTGCCACGAACAGGTGACCGGAAATAGTGAAAGAGTTTCGAGACGAGAATGAGACACTTTGGAGCCGGAAACGAGAGATGGGTGACTACTCGAGTCTCGCCCCGAGCACGAACCGGAAGCTGCCTCCCGGCGTCAAAACCGCGCCATGTTCCGAACCACACGACTTTGGGTCTGGGGACTAAAGTAGGCTGGCGTTCGGTGCTAACCTTTCTGGCCCGTGCCACCATATTCTAGTTACTGGGACCGAACGGGGGAGACCATACGGTCAGCTTGGTCCGGGAGCAGAAGATTTTTCTCAGTGTAGGGGCGTGAATGAAGTGTCAAGCCACTAAACGGCATGACAGAAAAGTCACGCCAAAAATCGGCGTGACTCAAAAATTCACGCCAATTTTTGGCGTGAATTTCTTGTCATGCCGCTTTTTGGCATAACATTTCTCATAAAAAGCGTCGTCATTCACGCCAAATGAGGGCGTGACTCACATGTCACGCCGATTTTCGGCGTGAATTTTGTGTCACGCCAATAAGAGGCGTGACTCTTTGTCACGCCATAATTTGGCTATGTGTCCGACCATTACGTTTTCAGTGAAAACTTCAGCTACCCCCGATAAAAATAGACTTTTTACATTGTTTTCAAAATTATTTTAATTTCTTGTGAATGAGTGATCGACTGGAACTTTTGATGCATGCGAAGCAGATAGCACAGTTTAGTGCGTTCTAGCCTGTTCTCCCATTGCCAAGCTACACCTTCAATTTAGACCACGCCGATGTTGCAACCATTAGTGTCATTCCATGACAGTGAGAAGTGAAGTCAAGGGGTTCTGTGATTTGATTAATTCGTGAAGGGTTCAAAGGAATAGTTCAATGCAGAGAAACTAGCATGTAGCAAAAATTGTATTTGTAGAATACATTTTCTCAACAGCATCGTTTCTTCTTTCGTCTCGGGCTAGGCACACTTTGCATTGGCCGGCCAGTCGCACGCCTGGAGGTTGTAGTGGAAGTGCAGTGGCGCCGGGCACGGCATGGTCTGCTTGCGGCCCGAGTAGCACACGACGTAATGGTCACAGCGACCAGGCGCAGGGATGAGCAGCGAGGCCCACTGACGTGAGCACGAAGACGGGACGGGCAAAGGCGGCCAAGCAGAGGGGGCTGGCCTCGTCGACGAAGAAGGCGGATCCCTAGGCGTCGTTGCCGTCCAGAAGGTGACCGGTGCTGAGGACGCCGTCGTGGAGGGCCCAGCTGTCGCTGAGGGTTCGGCTGTTGTGGAGGACTCAGGTGTCGAAAAAGGTTGAGCCGTCGTTGATGGTTCGGCTGTCGTGAAGGGCTCAGCTGTCGAAAAAGGTTCAGCTGTCGTTGAGGGTTCAGCTGTCGAAGAAGGTTCAGCTGTTGTTGACGGTTCAGCCGTCGTGGAGGGTCCAGCTGTTGTTGAGCGTTCAGCCGTCGAGGAGGGTTCGGCCGTCGTGGAGGGTTCGGCTTTCGTGGAGGACTCAGCTGTCGAAAAAGGTTGAGCCGCCGTGGAGGGCTCAGCTGTCGAAGAAGGTTCAGCTGTCGTTGAGGGTTCAGGTGTCGAAGAAGGTTCCGCTGCCGTTGACGGTTCAGCCGTGGTGGAGGGCTCAGCTGTCGTCGAGGTTTCAGCCGCCGAGGAGGGTTCGGCTGTGGTGGAGATCTCAGTTGTCGAAGAAGGTTCAGCTGTCGTTGACAGTTCAGCCGTCGTGGAGGGTTCGGCCGTCGTGGAGGGCCCAGCTGTCGTTGAGGGTTCAGCCGTCGTGGAGGGTTCGGCTGTCGTGGAGGGCTCAGCTGTCGTGGAAGCTTCAGCCGAGGAGGGTTCCACCGTCGTGGAGGGCTCAGCTGTTGTTGAGGGTTCAGCCGTCGTGGGGTTTTCGGCTGTCGTGGAGGGCTCAGCCGTCGTGGAAGGTTCCGCCGAGGAGGGTTCCGCCTCCGCCGTCGTGGAGGGCTCAGCTGGCGTTGTGGGTTCAGCCGTAGATGGTATCTAAGACGATAAAATATATTTTCAGAAGGTAGGTCACCCTGGCGGTTCAAGGGGGAAGGGGGCATGAAAATCAAAATGGTCCAGTTTACAAAATTCGGTTCCAGCCAAAGACACGTGCGTTAATTGGCTGAGCGATAGCGAAGCCTGTTACTCCAGTGGGGTTGAAAAGTTTTGTCTGTCTGTCTGTCTGTGTGTGTGTCTGTGTGTCCGCACTACTCCTCCTGAACGGCTCGGCCGATCTCGGTGACATTTTGCACACTTCTTGGGTATGTCCTTGGCTCGGCACACGCGAAATTTCACCATCCTAGCTCAACTGGTTCAGTTTTTATAGGCGAAAAACACCTTAAAAACGTCGAAAAATAGAGATTTCTGCAAATAGACCATTTCTGTCTTGGAGAAAGGGGGCCTGGGGGGCGGAGCCCCCCAGCTACGACAAGTTAAAAAGTGACGAGGGTCAAGATCGTGTTATCTGTAGATAAAACAGCTCTATTTAGAATGTAGGGGGGTCTGTGGCGCGGAGGCCGTCCCGAAATATACGGGACAAAGAACCAGAGACAGGTACAGAGACAGAGGCTCTACAGACTAACAGGTATCACAAATTCACTTGGTGGTTGAATCAGGGTATGAGCGATTCAAATCAACACTAAGAAAACCTTACAAACTATTTTGGGCCTTACAAAGAATAGTGGTTTGTATAACAAAGTATTTTGAGCATACGTAAGCTTACAAAGAAAATACTTCGTAATTTACGAACTTTTCTTCGTATGACAAAGTATTTTAGTTTGTTATATGTATGCTCAAAATACTTCGTAAGGTTTTAAGAGTGAACCATTTTATTCCCCCAACCAAAGTTTGAAACGCTACATTGACGCGGGGGTCGTCCAAAAATATTGTGGTCGGATAATTGGGTTCGTGTATTTTCCTGTGCTCTACAGGACAAAATCATGCCCCAGGTACGAACTCCCCACACTCCCTTATCATCCAACGTAGCCAAACCATGAGGCTAGGGGTAATGGACTTGCAACGGAGCTGGCCGGAATCTCTGATTTGCCTGTTGTAGTTCACTATTTCTCCGACTAAATATGCGAGTTTTGAGATGGCTCGGGCATTTTTGGAAAGAAGACATCTTAAAGTATGCCCTAAATTCAAAAAAGTTTCAATTTTCCCACCAGGGCTCGTACAGGAACAGCTTCGCCGTTGCGCTACTCAAATGCGCAGGGCGACGGGCATGGTGCCAGGGGCGACGCAGGGGGGACGCCTTCAACTTGCGCTAGAAGCTTCCGGATGCCGCAAAAGTGATGGGACAAGTGGTGCACCTTGATATATGTCGAAGACAAACTATGTCCCATCACTTTTGCGGCATCGGGAAGCTTCTATCGCAAGTTGAAGATGCGTCCCCCCTCCGTCGCCCCTGGCACCATGGCCGTCGCCCTGCGCATTTGAGTAGCGCAACGGTTAAGCTGTTCCTGTTCGAGCCCTGGTGGGAAAATTGAAACTTTTTTGAATTTAGGGCATACTTTAAGATGTCTTCACTGTAAAAAATTAGTTCGTAAATTTACAAACAATTTATGGGTAATTTCGTTGCACAAATTATCTGTAAATTTACAACGTCATTTTGTTTCTTTACAATTTATGAATTATTCTTCACGCAGTAATTTGTAAAATTACGAACTTTTCACACGCTCCAAATTACGTGGACCGCTTATGTTCTACCTTGTCACGCTGATTAAATGGAGATCAACTTATTTCAGCGTTTTTGTTTTGTTTTATGAAACATCTTGTAAAATGAGGAAGGCATCACCATATCTCGTAATCTTACAAGCGATTTGTGCAACGGAATTACCCAAGCATTTGTTGTAATTTTAGGAAACTTTTCATGTTTTTGTGACATTGTTGTAGTATTTTAGTCACGTTTGAGATGTATTTTGTTCATACCATTTCATAAGGCGGTGTTAACGAACAAATTTCATAAAATTAAGAAGATTTCCGTGATGAATAATTTATAAAACGGCCTCTACAAATAAATTTCATAAAATAACGAAATGTTATTGTTACTTCACAGAGAATTTGTAAAAAAAAAATTCGTAAATTCACAATAATTTTTTACAGTGTTCTTACACTGTAAAAAGTATGTTGTTAATTTACGACGGAATGTTTTCCGAAGGGTTTTTGGGAATGTCCAAAAGTGCACTGTAAATGTTTCTTTCCTACAGCGACTTTTGTAAATCAACGTAGGTTCGTCGTTTATTTACGAAGGATCTTTGTAAATTTAAGAAGAAAAATCGTAAATTTACAAAATCTGTTGTAAATTTACGAAGGGCTTCATAAAATTACGACGGCCTTCGTTAATCTACGACGGGTCTTCGTAAATCTACGGCGGGCCTTCGTAAATAAACGAAGGAAGTGTTGGCAATTTTTTTGCCGAAGGATCCGCCGTTAATTCCAGACGTATAATTACGAAGAATCTCTGTGTATTAACGAAGGTTCTTTGTTTATAAACGAAGAATCTTTGTAGATTTACTAAGGTGCTTCGTAAATTTCCATTGTGATTGGAAAATCGGCAGAGATCTTTCAAAAAATTAACGAAGGTTTTTGTAAATATACAAAGAGCTTCGTAAATTAACGAAGGAACCGTTGGCAATTTTTTTGCCGAAGGACCCGTCGGTTATTGCGGATATTAATTTTTACAGTGTATCCGAAAATGCCCGAGCCATCTCAAAAATCGCATATTTAGCCGGAGAAATGGTGAACTACAATTAGCAAGGCAGAGATTCCGGCCAGCTCCGTTGCGAGTCCATTACCCCTAAGGGAAGGTGGGGACCCATGTATCACGGGGTCCCATGTATCACGGCGTATTAAATTTCAGTTTCGCCCGCGAGGCGAGTCGCGTGGTGCGGAATCGAAACACCATCTAGAGAGCTTCATTTTATGGAAGGATGCGACTTTGCATCTCCAACAAACGTGGCGGCGTGACTAAGTGAAAATTTTGGTCCCCAAAACTGAGGGAAAGTAAAAATGAAATTTCTTCAAATATCTTTCATTAGCTTCCTGCTATGGAACATTATCGCAATTTTTTGATGTAGGAGTGTGCGGAAGGGCTTTGACAACAATAAGCAGTGCCGAACAGCAACATCCGAGCATAGGTTCTGGCAATACACCGCAATGTCCAATGCTCCGACAAATGGGGACCGATGTATCACATTTTTTGGGGTCCCATGTATCACTCAAATTTCATGTTGGGAGGCAATTAATCACGGAAATTTTCCTGTTTTAATGCCTGTGCTGTAATCATTGCAATTTTATAATAGAGTGACAGGCGACAGGTGTTACAGTTTAGTTACATTTTGCCATTAAACAAATACCAAGAATAGAGTGATACATGGGTCCCCACCTGTGATACATGGGTCCCCACTTGTGATACATGAATCTTCACCTTCTCTCTTTGACCTCAACTTACCTTAGGAATGGTCAAACTCGGTCAAACTTATAAACATATTGTAGAAATTAATGCTGCAAGGAAATGTTGCATAATTTGTCCTTTTTTAAAAGTTATTTTTGAAGAAAATAGCTGTGATACACGGGTCCCCATGGGTGATACATGGGACCCCAGGTATGGGGTCCCATGTATCAAATACATGAATTTAGTAGATTGCACTCCTATCCAAAACCAGATGAGATACATGAACAAATTCAGTTGGCCCTTGTAGAAGGAAGAGTAACTCATGCTTCTGACCCAAAACATTTGATTTATGCCCAAAACCAAAATTTTGGCACTCAAAACAAAAAAAAGTGATACATGGGTCCCCACCTTCCCTTAGTCTCGTGGCCAAACCCGTCGATGTACAGGACCTGACCGAGCGTACCTGAGTTGAAGTTGTGTTTATGGTTTTCCACCAGTCACAGTATTTCGAAATAAGAAATTCCTTGAATTTGCATTCTCTGGTTTCGTAGTCAAAAACTTCCACGTGGAACAAGCCGCCGCATTTTGTCCCTTTCGACGCCGGCACTCCGTTTGTACACTGAATGTACATGTGACACCATCCCTCGCATGGCACTGGTAGTTTTTCGTCCCCATTGCATCTGGAACACATCAATGTAGCTGTTAGAGTACTTGACTAGAAATGTCCAGACGCGCGCACCTCGAGCTGTCACAGGGATCATGGCGTGTTACGGCAGTTTTCGTTTGTTGAGGAAGTTGATCCGAGTGCTGGCCCAACATGAACTTTTCTTTTCACCAAGGGGTCCGCTTCTCAGAATTATGGTGTTCACAATTCCACATTTCCAGGATCCCCAGTAAATTCCATCCATGATTCCTATGCGATTTGAATGAATCGTGCGATTCTTCAGTTATTCCCGAGATTTTCCCAAGTATTATTCTCATAATTCCTGAGAAGAGTGGCACGTTTTATTATCTAAAGGTAATGCCAGTGCGGAAAAGTAGCCTGATTAGTAAAAACAAATTCAGATCAAAACAAATTTTTCAAATTGGTCAATTTCTTCCGATTCCGCCAGGCGTTTCGGCACTTCCGACCACCCCTCATGCTGACTTGACGGTGCTGTGGGTCGAAATATGGCCAGGTTTAGTTGTCCGACGGCCCAAAAAGTCAAAAAAAAAAAGCAAAAACCGAAAATCGATTTTCTTTACTCCTCCTTAATTTGACCAGTGGAGTGTGGATGAGATGAATCGCACTCTGCTTTATGTACTGACCTGCCATTTTGTAGACTGTAACTGTAGAACAAATCGCAGATGGGCGGATCTGCTGTCAATTTGGTCGGCAACGCTGTTGCGGCGGCCACCACAAAGATAAGAATAGGGACGACGACTGAAAGACAAGATAAAAAATAGGACATTATTCACCAATTTTCGGAAACAAAATGGCAAATGTATGTTGCATTGAAGTAAGGTAATTCTACGCCAACTTAAATTCTCATAAACCTGACGTCGTCCGATTTCAATTAAATTTAGTGAATCGTTACCACTTAGTGTCTAGAATGACCCTCAAAAATGTTTTTGATCAATAGCCGCCAGTGCTGGAGATACAGCACTTCACCGTTTTTGACCACACTGCAAATCTAAGTGTAGGACATGTAGACACTTGTAGGCGAAGACCACTTTGACCTACGCCTGCAAGTGTCGACCAGGTGTGACCGACTCTTTGAAGTGTCGACCACACTGTGTGCGACGCCTGCATGTGTAGTGTGGGACACTGTTTGTCCTACGGCAAATGACACTGACTTCCCTGTTGTGGCCCACACCGCAGGCGTCGGACACAGTGTGGTCGACACTTAAAAGCGTCGTACACAACTGGTCGACACTTGCAAACGTAGGACACACTGGTCTACGCCTTAAAGTGTCGACCTGTCCTGTCCTACACTTGGATTTGCAGTGCAATTTCCAAGTTAAAGAAACAGTGTTTCACTAAAGTGCCATTATCTCGGCTCCTATTGGACTTAGAGGTCTGATTCTGTGCTCATTGGAATTGGAATGAAATTTTGAGTTATAATGTGATCTTTTTAGGTCAAGGGGGCAGTCTCGTCCCTGGACCCTTTTTTAAGGGGGTTTTCCCCCCTCTTTTGAAGACGATGATTTTTTTAAATAAACCTAGAGACAAACGGTAAAAACCAAATGAAAGAACGGAATTTTTACAACATTTTCAAAAAATAAAATTTTGTTTTGTCTCTAGTTTTAAGGGAGTCATAGGGAATACAACAAAAGCCGACAAAACATACAAAATTTCACGGCGCGCAACTTTTCTCCGGAAGTTCTTTTTTTTTGGCAATTGGTTTGCGGCATCTTAAAGATGAAAAAATCCTCTTTACTTTACCCTACAATCGTCTATAAAGCCCAAGGAAAACAATTTATAAAACCGTAACCAAAAACCTATACAAACTTCAGTATGGTTTTAAACTAGATTTCCCTTGGGCTACATGGACGATTGTAGAGTAAGTGAACAGGATTTTTTCATCTTTAAAATGCCGCAAACCGATCGCCAAAAAGTTAAGAACTTCCGGAGGAAAGTTGCGCGCAGGGAAATTTAGTATGTTTTCCCTTGCAAAATGGAAAATATATGGGCACTATATGGACAAAATATATGGCCCAACATGTATTGACGTCATATGTGGAAAAGATAATTTAGCAGGATACTTTTCACTGAAAATAGAAAGGTCAGACTTTTGACCGCTTAAACGGTCTTACTGAAATGTACGACCGAAAAAGGGTCATACTGAAATGTAAGACCGAAGAAAGGTCATACTTCGATGTATGACCGAAAAACGGTCATACTTTATAGTGTGTCACAGGTAAAGGCTGATACATCCCCAAGCTAAACAATAGCCAGTCTCGCTGATGTCTCACCTTTTTTTGGTCATACATTTAAGTATGACCGTTTTTCGGTCATACATTTGTGTATGACCGTTTTTCGGTCATACTTTTTGTATCACCGAAAATCGGTCAGATGTCTCACCCTTTGAATTTCAGTGAATTCCGATATAAAAAATATGTGGCAAATATATGAATTTCATACATTGCTCTATATGTAGGCAATATATAGTGTGAATACACCATGGAGTCTGACGACTCCGAGACTTCCTTTACTATTATCAAAGAATGTAAATTTCGCCATCCATTTGTGATCCTGCCTTGGTCGTCCCTATGAACTTTTCGCGCTACACCCAAAAAAGGCGCTTAAAATATCCGAACTGTTCCAGTTAACTTGTTAAACAGGATTTCTCAAAATTTCTTGGAGACTTAAACGCATGGAAAAGAACCTTGCCCCTGATCAATATATAGCGTCAATATATTTTACAAGATAAAATCATGTTGAGAAATATAGCCGCCTTTCAACATCAAGTGCCAAGATTTTAAGAAAAGTTATTTGAAAAGTCTGCCCTCCTCACCCTGCCCCATCCCACGACGGGCACCGTGTCAGATATTGAAACATACATTTCGCGAAGATAATATTATATGGGGAAATATATGCATTATATATTAACGGGCACCAAGATATAACCCCATATATAAACCACGTATTGCGCAAGATAATTTGCAATATATTGAGCAAGATACAATTATATTGGCAATGCATGAAACTTATATGGAGTCATCCATATATTTTCCTTTTTGCAAGGGTTGTCGGCTTTTGTTGTATTCCCTACAACTCCCTTACAACTGGAGACCTGGGACTGGAGAACTGGGACTCTCATTCCAGGGAGGTGACATCACGTTGAAACGAACGTGACAAAATGTCACGTTCGTTTGAGCGTTGTGTCACGTTCGTTTCATGTGAAAAAGCTGATTTCTTGCCAATTCACACCCAAACGAATGTGACAAAATGCCCAAATGAACGTAAAATTTTGTCACGTTCGTTTCAACGTGATGTCACGTTCCTCGAATCGAAGTGTCCGAGTGCTGAAACATCACACACCACGAACACACAACTTGTGGAACACTGTAAAAATTAATGTCCGGAATAAACGACGGATCCTTCGGCAAAAAAATTGCCAACGGTTCCTTCGTTAATTTACGAAGCTCTTCGTATATTCAAAAACACCTTCGTTAATTTTTTGAACGATCTCTGTCGATTTTACAATCACAATGGAAATTTACGAAGTACCTTCGTAAATCTACAAAGATCCTTCGTAAATTTACAGGGAACCTTCGTTAATAAACAAAGAACCTTCGTTAATATACAGAGAACCTTCGTAATTTTACGTCTAGAATTAACGACGGATCCTTCGGCAAAAAAATTTCCAACAGTTCCTTCGTTTATTTACGAAGGTCCGCCGTAGATTTACGAAGACCCGTCGTAGATTAACGAAGCCCGTCGTAAATTTACGAAGCTCTTCGTAAATTTACAACAGATTCTGTACATTTACGATTTTTCTTCGTAAATTTACTAAGAACCTTCGTAAATTAACGGCGGACTTCCCTTGATTTACAAAAGTTTCTGTAGGAAAGAAACATTTACAGTGCACTTTTGGACATTCCCAAAAACCTTCGTAAAATATTCCGTTGTAAAGTCACAACATAATTTTTACAGTGAAGCAAAAGTGTTGATTTTACTTAAAACACGGAATTTCAGCTGAACTTCCAGTCTCTGGGTATTGTAGTAGGGCCACATATGAAGCTCGATATGCTGTTTAAAGTAGATAAGGTGTCTTTTTCTTCCCGAGTGACCATCTGAACGCATCAGCAGCGCATCCGAGTCCGTTTTGCAAATTGCCTAATTTTACCTATAAATCCGGAATTTCCCCCTCAAAGTGGGAACCGAAGATATTGTCCGATCGGAAAAAAAATTTGCAGGTGTGTTTCTGATGTCTGATGGCGGCCACTTTTGCCAGGTACCCGTTCCCGATCAGAGAAAAAAGGTTTTTTTCGGACCACCCTACTACACATTAAATGAAACATCGTCGGGAATGTTATCTCCTCCACCAGTTGCACTGTAAAAAATATGTTGTGATTTTACGACGGAATATTTTCCGAAGGGTTTTTGGGAATGTCCAAAAGTGCACTGTAAATGTTTTTTTCCGACAGGAACTTTTGTGAATCAACGTAGGTTCGTCGTTAATTTATGAAGGTTCTTTGTAAATTTACGAAGAAAAATCGTTAATTTACAAAATCTGTTGCAAATTTACGAAGGGCTTCGTAAATTTACGACGGGCTCCGTTAATCTACGACGGACCTTCGTAAATAAACGAAGGAAGTGTTGACAATTTTTTTGCCGAAGGATCCGTCGTTAATTCCAGACGTATAATTACGACGAATCTCTGTATATTAACGAAGTTTCTTTGTTTATAAACGAAGGTTCCCTGTAAATTTACGAAGGATCTTTGTAGATTTACGAAGGTGCTTCGTAAATTTCCATTGTGATTGAAAAATCAGCAGAGATCTTTCAAAAAAATAACGAAGGTTTTTGTAAATATACGAAGAGCTTCGTAAATTAACGAAGGAACCGTTGGCAATTTTTATGCCGAAGGATCCGTCGTTTATTCCGGATATTAATTTTTACTGTGTGTTCTTCGGGTGTCCTGCAGACGTCTAAAAATCTACATTACAAGCTGCCGTTGACCGCCTCAGCATTAACTGATAGGCTATGTCAATCCTAACCTCATTTTTTTTCCATTTTAGAGGAAAGCATAGAGTAACTCGCTTTAAAATGTATTTCGAGCTGTGTAAATGTATTGGAATTAGGCAGCAGATGATTCGAGAAATAATTCAAGCATTTAACAGCAAAAACTACTTAAATTCTTGTTTTTATACGGGTCTGTTACGAATCACCCCAAATGCCTGTTACGCAAGAAATCCGTCCGTAACTATCACTGGACAAAGTAAAAGCAACTTATGCCACGTGTTTACATTGTATGACTTCTTCATTTTCTTCTTGACCCGGAGGCGCTCCCTGCACAGCATGCCAATTTTTTAATAAATTGATGAGTTTGTTGCCTGTATTTCTATCAACACTGAAAATTGAATGGCGAGACTGATGGCCAAAATTTGGCGAGACAAAGAAAGTGTCGCCATTCTGTGGCGAGAATCAAATTTCTCGCCACACATTTAGGAAGAAACAAAAGTCTCACCACACTCTTAAAAGCCTACGAAGCATTTGCTTCATAGCTACGAAGGAAATGAAAGGTTGTAGAAATTGCTCCGTATTATTAAGAAATGCTTCGTATTACGAAGAATTTTGCTTCATAATACGAAGCATTTCTTTGTAGATTTTACAATGCCTTCATTTTCTTCGTATTACGAAGCGATTCCTAGTAGTGTTTTTACTGTGCATTTTTTGGCGAGAAACAGATGTCTCGCCGGCAATAATTGCAACCC